CCGGTGAGGCAGGAGACAGGGTCCCCTTGGCGGAGAGGAACTGGCGCTCACAGTCCCCCGCCCTCCCAATCAACTGTTTAAAAATGCAGTTCACTTTGCCCTTTGCTCCACTACTTACTGTGAAAGATTTCAAACTGCAGGAAAGTTGAAAGAAAATACTGTGAGCCCACGTGTTCCTCGCCTAGGTAGCCAACTGTTAACATTATGTTGCTTGTCACCATCCCGTTAGCCACACATACTGCACCGCGCTTTAGAAAAAAAAAGGTGCTCACGGATCTCGTTGTCCTTGGCTGCTGCACCCAGGAGCTGGCCCTCAGTGCATCTGCCCAGACGTCCATTCTCCCGACTCTCTCTTCAGTGTCACCCCTGGCCCCACCCTGGACCCTGTGCAAGACCCAGTGAGGACCATGACCATGCACTGTGTTTGTTCCGTGTCTCTTTCATCTGCTTCTAGGCTAGGACTCTGTGCCTACCTGCAGCTGGAGGTGGAGCCATGGGGGTCGCTCCCTTGTTGGGGTGTGGCCTGCCAGGTCTCCCTGGCGCAGGGGCTGGGTCCTGGCATGAGGAGGGGTCCTGGCGGCCCTCCCAGCTGGTGGGATCCCAGGGGAAGCTGAGCGCCGGGTCCCCCTTGCATTCTCGCCTTCTCCCCTGCCCACCTTACCCCTGCATGCTTGGCGGGTTTGCATGGGCCTTGCGCATGGCGCTTTGGGCCCCGAGACAGACTCCTTACGCCCCTGAAGAAATGAGCCAGTGTTTCCACTGCCGCTGCTAATGACGTCTCTGATAATTAGATTCTGACGGCTGCGCGTGCGCAGGACTGCTGGGCTGCAGACTCAGGCGCAGCTGCCAGCTCCGGGGCCTTCTTGGTCAGTGCCTGTGGCTTTGTAGAAGGCAGATGCACTGTGCCCTGCCTCTCCCACCTGCCCTGTAGGAGGCGGGCAGGAGGCTGGCTGCTGGCACACAGGTGCCTCTGCAGGCATATGTGTTGGCGTACAAGTGTGAAAGGAAAATGGTGCGAAGAAGACAGTCCCTGTGAGTGAAGCAAGATTTACTAAGTCAGAAACCGCCTGCCACAGCAAGCAGGAGGCGGGAGTCTTCAGGAGAGGGCGCCCTGAAGCGCTGGTCTAAGCAGAGCCTTGTAAGCATAGCTTTGAGGAAGAAAAGAAAAAAAGTAGAATAGCTATTAGCAGAAGGGATGAAAGCCAGCAAAAGGGAGGCATTGCCGTCCCAACTGGGCTGCCCAGGATAAGGCAAAAAAGCCATCAGAGGGAGGCAGCAGTCGCATCTTCCTGTCCTCTGGAGAAGCTGTGTGCTCCGACGGTGGGAACACTACCTCCTTGCTGTCCTTGCGATATGACCGGACACCCGGAGGAAGGAGTGTTGGAGTTTTGGATCTGGCCAGGGCACCTCTGCTCAGGAGTGAGCCCTGTGTGCCCTTAAAGGGTGTAACCACCTCCTGGCTAGTCTTGTGGGGAGCCAGGAAAGCCAGAGAAGGCAGGTTGGCATTCACACCCCAGAGGCAACTGGTGCTGGGAGAAGCATGTTGGACACCCTCAAAGAACTCCCCCCTTTTCTCATCCCATCCTGGCCCTGGCTTCCTGTTGGCCGGCCTTCAGGGAACTTCTTACCCAAGGGTGCATGCTCTGTGTCTGGGACGAGTCTGTGGACCAAGCACATGGAGTCTCCACCGCACTGCAGCCCCATGCTGTCCATTTGCTTGCTGTGCTGCCAGCTGGTGCATCTGAGGGAGTCCCGTCCGGCCTCTGGGTGTTATCCTCTGTGGCTCAGGAGGGGCTCGCTGGGGTTCTTCTTTGAACTGGGGCAGGGGCAGGGCTCTCCTACAGGCTGGTTCGACCTCCCCCACCCCTCCAAATGAAAGGGATGAAATCTGGGGTAGGGGTGAGGCTGGAGAGATGAAGCATGCCTCTCTTCCTCCCGCATGTCCTAGGCTGTGAGCCTTCTGCACCCAGGCTTCTGCTTACAGGGGGTGAGGAAAGAGGGTCACGCTCTCCCCATGGCCTTACTTAGCCTGAGACCCCAGGCTGAGGCATGAGGCACGAGGCAGTTCCTGCCTGCTGAGCGGGTCCGGCCTTTGGTGAGCTGTCACTTCTGCTACTGGGGTCTCTTAGCAAGGGTGCATGGCCGACCTGGCCCCCTGCCCCCAGGGCTGCCTGGCAGTTCGGAAGAGGAAGACAGCACCTCCTACGACACAGCGTGGAGAAGCAGCCCACTGGGCCTTCCACAGTCTTGCCAGTTCCTGGCCAAGTGCAAGGGCTTGGCCCCAGTGAGGACCCTAAGCTTCTGTGTCTGGGTAGACTGAGCCACACAGAGTTGGGGCTGAAGCTGAGGCCAGGGCACGAGCAGCTCTCCGGACCTGTAGCCGAGCCCGGTTCCTCCTGCTGCCCTCCTGAGCAGTCAGATGGAATTTCAGCCAAAGCATGTCTGATTGTATCCTGGACCAGCTCAGCCCCACTCAGGTAAATAAGATGCAATCCCATCATCTCTCTGGACTGCAGGGTCGGTGGCCTCTGCCCACCTCTCCCAGCTCTCGGGCACCGCTGTGCCATCTCCACATGGTCCACTCTCCATTTCTCATCCCTTGCACTTGTTGAGCACTCTGCTCTCCCAACCATCCGGGGCTGTCGCCTGCACGTCCTTCTCAGCTGAATGCTGTCCCCGAGGGCCCATCCTTAAGGGCTCCCAGTGTTTCCTCTATGGTGCTGGCCGCCAATTGAAGAGATCTTTTGCCATCACCGTCTCCTGCACTGGGTGCATTCCCCGCACAGGAAAGGACCCTGTGATCCTCTGGTCTCCCACTGGATTTCCATGTCACTCAGACCCATGCCAGGCACGGGGCAGGAATTCGAGGCCGTCTGTTGAATGAACGTGATCCTGCCCGGCCCTGGGTTGCATCGGTCAGCTTCCTGTTACTCTAACGGGACAACGGAGGCAGGCCAGGGGGACTAACAGGAGACTGATTTGGGCTCGTGGTTCCGGAGGTGCGAGGTCCAGGAGCCTCATGTGGCTGTGGCCATCTTGCAGGCAGAGTCCCGAGGCAATGTGGAGCATCACGTGGCGAGAGACAACGAGCACCTGTCGTGTGGTCTTTCTTTCTTTCCCTGTAAAGATAACAAAGTCCACTCATGATGGGCTCTGCCCCATGATCTCATCTCGTGGCTCCGTCTCTGAGCACCAGCCAAGGGAGGAATATTGCACACGCCTAGCACCGTTAGCCTAAGACCTCAGAGACCGAGCTCCTGGGTGAGCTCAGGGAGGCAGATCACGAACACAGTACCTGGGGGCCGCCATCCCACATCCGAGCACCAGTTCGAGTCCTGGCTGCTCTGTTTCTGATCCAGCTCCCTGCTAATCTGCCTGGGAAAGCAACAGATGAGGCTTCAAGCCCTTGAGCCCCTTGCATCCATGTGGGAGACCTGGATGAAGTTCTTGGCTCCTGGCTCTGACTTGGCCCAGCTCTGGCTGCTGTAGCCATTTGGAGAGTAAACCAGCAGGCGGAAGATAATCTCTTTCTCCTTCTCTTTCCTTTGTGGGATGCTTTGCCTTTCAGTTCAGTACATCTTACAAAAGCTCACAGTAGCACAAGTCCCTTTAACCATCATGGTCAGATGGGGAACTGAGACCCCAGCCTGTGAAGCTGCCAAATGGAGATTTCCTAACAGGTCTTGTTTCATGTCTTCCTGGAAGTTCTTGGCTTTCAATTAGGATACGTTGTTTATAGAAAAAAGTGGAAAACCCAAAACCCTGGGAAGGAGGTGGGCTTGCCTTCCTGCCCGCCGTCTCCCTGACGCGCACGTGGGTTTTGGGGTTGGTTGGTGGGTTTTACGCTTGCTGCTCCAGCAGTCACATTTCAAACAGTGTCTGCAGCCCTGGTCTGGATTGAATGCAGTGTGTAAGGGTTCCCTGACTGTCCCCACGGGCAGGCGCCAGGGTTGTCTCTAATTCACGGTGCACGACTTGGTCTCTGAGTGACAGCTGAGTCTCGTAGGTGGGATTCTCGGGTCCCGCTATGTCTCCTTTGGCTATGTGGCAGGATATCCAGTAACTAGAAGTTGAGTCCAGTGTAGGCAGCGAAGCAGAGGCACGGGCTCAAGTGGCCGTCCATGGCCCGGACAGCAGCAGGTGCTGTGTGGAAGGACGTGACAGGGCTGTGGGTACTTGGGGAGACTTCGGGTTTGGATCACGGGTGGCACCTGCAAGTGGAGTCTTCAGGTGTTGTGGGTGTGTGGAGGGGAGCAGCAGGTGGTGCACATCATGGACAGGTCACCGCAGGGGCAGAGGCGCGGCCCCATGGTGCATCCTGAGTGATGGCCAGATCCAAGCTTTGGTTGGTTGACCTGGAGGGTGGGGTGTATGGACATGGGGTGGGGGCACAGCTGGGGCCTAGCCCATGGAGTTGGGGATCTTGGACTTTTCAGGAAGGCGGGCCATGCAAATCTCCCTGAATGTTTTTGTTTGGCTGAAACTACCTGTGAGGGGTGGTCTTGCCCCGGGAGGCCTTCCCTACCGACCTCCCTGCCCTCCACCTGGACGGGCACCCCTTCCCCTGTGCCGCCTCTCATTTGCGTGGCTCCTTTTACCTCTGTGTCGTTGATCCTGCTGCCTCTGACACTGCCCTGTCTGGGATGGGGTCTGTGGACTCCCTGCTGTGAAAAGGGGTGCTTGGCTTCCCCTCCTCTCCCCTGGGGGTCTTCCTGCTGGCTCTGCCACCATGGCGGACGACACCTGCTCCTTCCTCCCCTTCCACACTCTGCTGTGAGCTGAGGGTGCCACACACGGTGTGTGAGTTCTGGAGTGAGTGAGCGTGGGGAGCGAGGGGGTCCCCTCCCTGCTCCTTGGCCAGCATTGTGGGCATCGGCAGACCCTGTGAGCCAGGCTTCTCCTGCCATCCCGACTCCTCTTGCGGCAGAGGCTGGGGTAGTGCATGTCGTGGGATCCTCCTCAGCCGGCCGAGCCCCAACAGCTTTCTCTCTCTGCCACAGCAAAGCTTCGAGGCACACCAGGACGAGGCAGTGAGCGTGACACACATGGTGAAGGCGGGCAGCGGCGTGTGGATGGCCTTCTCCTCAGGCTCCTCCATCCGCCTCTTCCACACCGAGACGCTGGAGCACCTGCAGGAGATCAACATCGCCACCAGGACCACCTTCCTGCTGCCAGGTGAGGGGGCTACCGGGGGCACCTGTCGAGACAGCCCCGCCTCAATCCGGGGCTCTCCGGAAGTGCTGGTTGTTGCCAGGGCCTCTCTTCCTGTCTCCCTGAACTCCTTGGCCCTGCAACCCGGACATCAGGACTGTCAGGAAGTGAGATGTGAGCCCAGGGGACTCACCAGGGCCAGGAGCTGCTAAAAAAAAAAAAAAATCAAGCCAGGTAGGAATTGAAATGTGTCTATACCCTCTATCTTGTGGCTTGACCGAAACTCAGCAGTGGAGGGGTGCAGGGAAGGTCTGGAGGCAGGGACCCTTAGGCCTTGCTAGTCAAGACTCTGGCCCACCTGCTCTGCTGTCCAGCTAGGACGTGGAGGGGTTGGTGGCGCTCTCTAAGGCTGCTGCTTGCTCCTGCAGGGCCATCTGTGAGATTACAGTCATGGTGGACTCAGATGGGAGGCCCTGCTAGAGGACCCCCAGAAAATGACCCCAGCTCCCCTTGGACATCTGCTGCTTAAGCCCCAAGGGCTGGGTGAGGAGGGGACCTGCCTCTGACCAGTCCTCACCCCTGGAGTCAGCTTATTTTGCTTCCCCTTCCTCCACCCAGCGCCCTGCAGCAGACTGGCCCCTGGCTGGTATGGAGGACGAAGAGGCCCTGTCTTGGTCCAGCATTCACAATGGGGGCCAGACAAGCAGCTTGTGTGGCAGGCGGGGGCCTGGAGCTTTTTACCACGGACATCTGGCAGATGGGCTGTAGGGAGCCTGTGAGGGTGCATGGCCTGATTGGGAAGCTGAGCCAGGGGCAGGCATGGAAGCCAGAGGCCTGCCTGGGGTACCCAGAGATTCCCCAGGTCCCCCGAGTCCTCCTGGCCAGTCCCAGCTGTCCTTGTCTTTGCAGCCGGTGGTTCCTAATAATCAGATCCACCCCAGTAATGACACAGGCAGTAGCAGGGGGCCAAGTTCGTGGTGGACAGGATCTCATTCACACCGTAGCACCAGGAGCAGGAGACTGTTCTTGCATCACAGGTGCTGAAATAGATGAGTATGGCAGGTGACATGTCTGTCCCTGGGTCATGCATGCGGCCAGAGGCAGGACCCCGAGACACAGGAGCTGGGGCCCACTTGCTGTTGCCCTGTGTGTGGCATGCTGCTCAGAGTATGCCCGAGTCCTGCCAGGGTCATCGGGCAGTCTCAGGCAAGTCCCTGTAATCCTGGAGCACTCGTCCCTCTGTGAGATGGTCAGTGCTACCCAGCAGGGCTGGAAGGCAGCTGGCCCAGGTGCTGCACGACAGGCAACCCTCCCTGTGGTGTGACAGGTGCTCTGGGGAACCTGAGTTAGGGGGTCTCATCTCTTCTCTTCTCAAACTCCCCCTTTTGTTTCATTGTGTTTCACAATCTTTAGTCATTTCACAAGTTCCATCCATTTCTACGACAATGAGAATTTCTCTGTCTCACAAAAAATATTTCCATCTTTATGCTGACAGCTAAATTATTTCAAGATCGCAGAAAACTGGAAAATGGATAATAATCTCGTGGGCTTTTTGAAGTCTGTGGAGTCTCATCCTGTGCGGGTAGAGAAGAGACAAAGAAAGAGCTGAGCTTATGCAAGGATTGGGGCCACAGCTGTGGACCACCCTCAGCAGCTGTGGGCAAAACAAGCACCCCACAGGGGCCCTGCTGACTTCACTGTGGGGGGGGTCTCTTTTTTTTATGATTTATTTTGAAAGAGTTACAGGCAAAGAGGGAGAAGACAGAGAAAGATCTTCCACATGCTGGTTCCACTTGCATGGTAGGGCCAGCAGCTTCTTTTGGGTCTCCCACACAGGTGGCAGGGGCCCAAACACTTGGCTTTTCCCAGGCCATTAGCGGAGAGCTGGATGGGAAGTTAGAACAGCTGGGACATGAACCAGTTCTGACTGCGATTGCCTTAGAGTAGGTGGACAGAGGCCCAGGAGATGAGGCGGTGGCCTACCTGGCTGGAAAGGCCAGACATGGGCGCTAAGCAGAGCTCTTGCACGGACTCACTGTGTCACTTCCCTTCCCGAGCCTCAGTTTCCCCAGGCTGTGGAGGGTGGTCCTGAGCCAGGCCAGGCCAGGTCCCCGCTGTGGGAGGCAGGGGCTCCTCAAGCTTAGAGCAGACCCGGGAGCCGAGGGCATCTTCAGATCCTTAGCTCCTGATACCTCCAAGGTTACACACCAAAACAGGATTCTTAAATTCTTTATTAGAGATATTTTTAAAAGGCTTTTAAGAATTTCTCACCCCATCCATGCTGCAAAATGAAATAATTGTCTAATTAGTAATAAATTTGTTCCTCCACAAAATGTGGGTTTTTTTTTTTAGAGCATGTTAAAAATTGATCATGCTTCCTTCCCCCAGCCCTTCTCTTCCACTTGAGTCCTCGACTGGTATTAATGCATTTTTTAACCTAAACTCCCTCCTCCTCTTAACTAGACAGGTCATTAATAAAATGTTCTCCAGGAGCCGGAGCTTTTTAAAGTTGTATATCTCCCGCTAGACGGCCGCGCCGAGCTGAGCGCTGCCGCGTTAGGCCTCTGTGATAAAATATTTATCCACCATTAGACTTTTTTTTTTTTCCTTCGGACTGTTTGTGAAGTGTCTTGCTCTTTTCCTCGAGGAGGAGGCGGTAGGAGGAAGGGCCCCGGAAAGCAACCCACAACCCACAAGGAAGTCATTTCTCTGTCCCGGCGGCTCTCTCAGAGTTCTGGTCTGCCTTCCTTCTGTTTGTCGGGTTTCCGTCACCTGGCGACAATGGGGGCTCAGGAAGTGGTCTCCCAGGGGTCGCAGAGCAGGACAGGCGCCCCGCAGGATGAGTCGTCCAGCCCTGCTCCTTCTCCCGGCGTCAGTTCATGCAGGCTGGTGGCCTTCTGGAGGTGTTCTAGAACCCTCTCACTGTCACAGCCTGTTGTTGGCTGGATGCTGCCGGCTTTGAGCCGTGTCTGGATGTTTTGTTGTACATATCCCGGTGAAGCTAGTGGGTTTCAGAAACATTTTACATCAGCTTGTCTTCACCTTCCATCTGCCACTGACTGCTGGAAGTACCCTTATAGAGAATTCTAATGACGCCTAAAACTGAACAAGGTAGATTGGTAATACTCATTGGCTAATGAAAGAAAGTGACCTGTCCAAATGCACACAGCTAGTAAGTTCCTATTCACCTCTCTGATCTCTTTACCCACACATCATCCATCCACCCATCCATCCATCCATCCATTCACCCACCCACCCATCCACCCACCCACCCATCCACCCACCCATCCATCCATCCGCCTATCCATCCACCATCCATCCACCCACCCGTCCATCCACCCATCCATCCATCCATCCGCCCATCCATCCATCCATGCATCCATGCATCCATCCGCCCACTCACCCACCCTTCCATCCATCCACCCACCCTTCCATCCATCCACCCACCCTTCCATCCATGCACCTACCCTTCCATCCATCCATCCATCCACCCACCCATCCATCCATCCACCCATCCATCCATCCACCCACCCTCCCACCCATCCATCCGTCCACTCACCCACCCTTCCATCCATCCACCCACCCTTCCATCCGTCCACTCACCCACCCTTCCATCCATCCACCCACCCTTCCATCCATCCACCCATCTACCCACCCTTCCATCCGTCCACCCGCCCACCCTCCCATCCATCCACCCATCTACCCACCCTCTCATCCATCCACCCATCATGCACTTTTGCATCCAGCTGTATGTCCATGCATCTCCTTGGCCAGGAGTTGGGGAATGAATCCCAATAAGCAATTACCTTCATGAATTGTCCCTTTGCAAGGACAGACAATAAACAAAGAGCAGATTAAGGTCATTACAGGCCTTGGCCTGCACCAAGAGGAGAGGGCAGGTGGCAAGGAGTGGCAGTTCACATACTGGCCAGTTGGACGAGGGCTGGGACAGCCCATCTCTGGCCTTGGGTTGCTGTGTGTTCGATGCAGCAGTGAGAAATCAGACACAGCTCCCCGGGCATCATGCCCACTCTTCCTCTTTGCTTCACTTTAATTCCCCGCTTAGCATCCATTTTCCTTGTTGCTGTTTTGGTTTCTCCAGGCAGTGAGAGATTCAGACCTTCCATCTCACCAGCCACAGTTTGGTGCTTGGTAGCTGCAGACAGGTCGTGGCTGCTGAACTGGGCGGCATGGCAGTAAACATTGCCATCACCACAGAAAGTTCTAAAGTGTTTGCACCTAGGGAGTCAGCTATGCACTAAGTAGAGACTGGTCCACAGGAGGCGCCTGGGGCATGGATAAGTGATGGGACAGCCAGCTGGCCCAGGTGGTGCTGTGTACCCCAGGGTATGGGTCCTTCCTGCCCATGTCAGAGCTGACATGGAGGCTGCCTCACCTGCACGTGTGGAGCTAACGTGCTTTCTCTGAGAGCCGTGGACATTGCAAGCACTCAGTGGAGAGAAGCAGCTGTGACTGTCCCTGCTGCCTTTTCAGCCTCAGTCTCCTCATCTGCTAAATGGAAAGGGCTCCTGCATCCTGGGTCCATGCCCACTGCTATGGCTCAGAGCAGGTGCACAGGCTGCAGGCACCTAGAAGCCCTGTTTCTCCAAGTGCGGTCCCTGGACAGGTGGCCCTGTTTTGACCTGGGAACTTTGTAGAATCTTCTAGTCCCTTGCAGTGATGCTGGTGCAAGTTCAGGATTGAGGACCCCTGCCCTCTGTCACATGTCATGTGTATCATGGCATGAATTTGCCCCTCTGGGAAGTGCAGCAGGATTGGACAAGGAGGTGGGGGTATAAAAAATGTAGGAGCCAGGGGAGCCCATGGGAGCACAGCAGGGGCTGTCCACTCTGCCTGTGCCGTGCAGGGGGCCCAGCTCTGTCCCTGAGCCGATGGCCTGTGCCCTGCACCTCTCAGCCCCTCTGGTGTATGTGAGCTTCCCTCCCTCTACCCTTCACTCCTGGTCACTCCGTTCCCAGCAGCCGTGAACAGCCCAGGCAGTGTCATCAGATAGCATCTGTTGGTGTGGCCACGTACCAGGCATTGGGCTCCTTGCCCTTCCTGCTCTCTGAGGTTGTGTCGCACACCTCTGCTTTTACAAGCCAGACAAGCAGAGAACCAGCCCCAGGTCGTGCAGCTGGGAAGCAGCAGCAGGGCCAGGATCTGAACTGGCACCTGCTCACGGGCCCTCCCTGCACCTGCATCCTCCATGCGAAGAGCCCAGGCCGGCGTCGCCACCATGGCCTGCAGGGGGTGCTGTGGCCCCAGCAGAGAAAGTGGCTATGTGCTTCACAGAGGACCAGCTCCAGCCGCTTCGCATCCCCCGCTGTCCTGGCTGCTCCCTGGACGTCCATCCTGGAGGTGCACAGTGGTTGTTGCTCCTCGCTGACTGGAGGCCGTCCCTGCTCTACAGCATGCCTCGGCTTTACACTCTTGTTTGTCCAGATACCCCAGCCACTGCGTAGTGCCCTACAGTACCACCTCACCCGTGTGCACCAGGGGAAACAGGCTGAGTAGGGGAGCACTCAGATGAGTAGAGCCAGTCTGGTCAGCCCCATGGCCCAGCTCCCAACTGAAGCAGCAGACGGCGCCTGGCTTGTCTTAGGGCAGTGCCCAGCCCCTGCTGCTCGCCTCCCTGGAACACACGGTGGTCGCCCGAGGACCACACTGCTCACTCCCTCCTCTCTCTCTGCAGGCCAGAAGCACCTATGCATCACCAGCCTCCTGATCTGCCAGGGTCTGCTCTGGGTGGGCACTGACCAGGGCGTGCTCGTCTTGCTGCCCGTGCCCCGGCTGGAAGGCATCCCCAAGATCACAGGTGAGGTGCCCGGAGCTGCTCCTGGCAGGGCCCGGGCTCAGCTGTGGAGGATGGGCTGGGGTGGAAGGAACAGCTCTCCATCTTCCTCCCATCTCAGGGCTGCCCCGGCCCCACACACAGTGGCGTGAAATTGTCCCTGCTTTCCCTCATCTGGCCAACAGGTGCCAGAGGTAGAACCCCTTGAGGACTCCTGGGGACAGAGCTGGCTGGGGCCCCGGGTACATGCCTTTTCTGTGTGCCTGGGAGGTCTGTGCTGACCTGCCTGGCTGGACCCAGGAAAGCAGCAGAGGGGCCAGGAGGGCCCCTGGTGACTGCAGCCCTGGCCTGTCCACCTCCACCTGATGATGACCTCACAGCCCCTCTCCCCACACCCCACACCAGTGCAGCTGCTGCCAGACAGGAGCCCCGGGATGCACCAGCCCCAACCAGACTGGGCGCCCCTCTGTCCAAGGAGCCCCTCTTCTGAAGTCTCAGGGGTCCTGTTTCCACAACTTCAGGGATGACATTTTGTTTTTCCACAGGGATGGGTGGGACAGAGCTGGGGGTCTGGCGTGGCAGGTGCCACCCGAGCACAGGTGTGCCACAGCGAGCAGCTCCGTGGCTCAGGAGCTGGAGCAGGAGGATGTGTCGGAGGATCAGGGAAGGAGTTCCTGGGGCAGAGGTCACAGCTTGGGCAAAGGCTGGGCACTAAGAGGAGATTCTCAGATGTTCCTTGGAGGGTCCTTGAATGTGAGGTCACTCATCCCCAAGGACGGAACCTGGAGAGGGAGTGGCCAGCCAGGGCCTCCTGCAGAGGCAGTCAGGGCCCAGCCCCACTAGAATCCACCCAGCAAGTTCTGCAGGGGAGCCATGTGTGTGCATCCCTGAAGGCCTCCGTGTTCCCTCCCCCCTTACCCATTTCTCCAGGAAAAGGCATGGTCTCACTCAATGGTCACTGCGGACCCGTGGCCTTCCTGGCGGTGGCCACCAGCATCTTGGCCCCTGACATCCTGCGGAGTGATCAGGAGGAGGCTGAGGAGGACAAGGCGGATGGGCAGGCCCAGGAACCCGTGCCCGCGCCGGACAGCCACGTGGGCCGCGAGCTGACCCGTAAGAAGGGCATCTTGCTACAGTACCGCCTGCGCTCCACGGCCCACCTGCCCGGTCCACTGCTGTCCATGCGGGAGCCGGCGCCCACTGACTGCTCGGCCCCAGAGCACGGCGAGGAGGATGGCTCTATCTACGAGATGGCCGATGACCCCGACGTCTGGGTGCGCAGCCGGCCCTGCGCCCGCGACGCCCACCGCAAGGAGATCTGCTCCGTGGCCATCATCTCTGGCGGGCAGGGCTACCGCAACTTCGGCAACGCGCCAGGTGCCGGGCGGCCTGCACCGTGTGGGGAGACGGACAGCACCCTTCTTATCTGGCAGGTGCCTTTGACGCTATAGCCCCTGTGCCCCGGGGGCCCAGCTGCAGGCCTGCCCACAGCCATGCCCGGTCCCCGGGGACTGCCTGGTGTGGAGTCACCATCAGGGAACACCTGGAGTCTCCAGTGACCACTTTGGCCCAGTGGAGGAAAAGTCTCTTCCTTTTTAAAGACAGTTGTTTATTATTATTATTATTATTATTGTTATTATTATTATTTCCCAGATGTTTCTGGGAGGGGTTTTAGCCTTGGGGAGAGGGAAGACAGACCAGGAGAAAATGGCCTTCTTTTTAATAAGGAAAAAAAAAATCCAAACACACAAAACCTCACACTGCTGGGCAAGTCCCGAGGCAGCCATGCGCCTGTCCTGGAAGGGCACATGTGTGTGTCAGCACGTGAGCGCATGGGCTGGTGTGTGAATACCTATAAATACGTACATACGGTGTATATTCTATGTGTGTAAATACTGTCTGTACATATTGGAGCTCTGGGAGGTTCTGGAATAAAAAGTGAGAGATGCATTTGTGCCCAATTAAGGTTATTTTCCTTTAAAAATCTATTTATTTGGGGCCCGGTGGCCCCAAGTCCTCGCCTTGAACACACCGGGATCCCATATGGGCGCCGGTTCTAATCCCGGTAGCTCCACTTCCCATTCAGCTCCCTGCTTGTGGCCTGGGAAAGCAGTCGAGGACGGCCCAAAGCTTTGGGACCCTGCACCCGCGTGGGAGACCTGGAGGAGGTTCCTGAATCCCAGCTTTGGATTGGCACAGTACCGGCCGTTGTGGTCACTAGGGGAGTGAATCATCGGATGGAAGATCTTCCTCTCTGTCTCTCCTCCTCTCTGTATATCTGACTTTGCAGTAAAAATAAATAAATCTTAAAAAAAATCTATTTATTTGAAAGAGCAACAGAGAGGGACACATCCATACCCACATACACACGTCCATCTTCTATCACAGTGGCCAGGATGGTCCAGTCTCCCGTGTGGGTACAGCAAGGCACTTCCACTGCTTTCCCAGGCGCATTAGCAGCCAAATCTGGTCTACATCCAGACACAGCTCACACGTGGCTCCGCAGGGACAGAGACCTAGCCCAGCCTGTTTTACACCCATCCTAGTTCTCATGAGCTCCAATGGATGCTGGAGTCTAGCCCAGTCTGGCACACCCCAGACCCAGTCCACATCCATGCCAAGGAAGACTGCAGCCATTTCTAGACCAGATCACAGTCTTCACTCTGGCCCTTGCACTCACCAGTGGGAACTACAACCTAGCCAGTGTGGCCCCTTAGCTCTCCAACCAGACCTGTTCCCAGCCACAAATCTCACATGTTCCAGTGGTGGCTCTGACCCAGCTTGGCAAAGCCCCTCACCTGTTTTGGCCTTTGCCTTTGGATGCTGTAGCCCGACCTGACCCAGCTGTCCCCTAGTCCTAACTCTCACTGGCGGATTCTGCTACCTGGCCCTGCTCAATCTGCTCCCATCCCTGGCTCATGCAAACCGGCAGGTGTGATAGCCTAGCCCAGAACGACCTGCACTCTAGTGTGGTTTCTGCATTTGCCAATGGGCTAAGGTCTGCTCGGTCCTGCCTGGTCTACCCCCTTCCAAAACCAACCCACACACTTGCCAATGGATAGAGCTACCTTGCCCAGCCTGCCTATAACCCAGACCTGGACCATGTACTCACCAGCAGGAGCTATGACCCAATGGGGGAGTATCCCATATTTCCCCACTTGGCCCACTCCCAGACCCAGATTTCACACATGCCAGCATGTGCCAGGTCCCCACCTGGCACAGTCTGCCCCTTCTGTCTCAGTCTGTGTATGAGCTGGTGGATGTTGCAGCCTGGCCTGCCCCACACACTGTTTTAGGGTGCACATGCGGGTGCTGCAGCCTGGACCTGCCCAGCCTGTCCCCAGCCCAGTGCCCGTGAGTGTTGGCAGATTCCATTGTCACACTTCTCACCACCCCAACTCTTAAGCTAAACAGCAGGGTTGGTATTCCCACAGGGTTAAGTCCATATATCCCCCACAGAATCTATTCCTGGACCTGGTTCTCTTGAGTGCTGGTTAGTGTCATGGCCCAGCCTTGTGTGACCCATCCATCCACTGTTCCGACTCTCACTATCAGGTGCTAGGATCTAACCCTGCCAGATAGGCCTCCAGTCCTAGCTTTCATTTTTTTTTTTAAAGATTTATTTTATTTTTATTGGAAAGGCGGATATACAGAGAGGAGAGACAGAGAGGAAGATCATCCATCCGATGATTCACTCCCCAAGTGAGCGCATCGGCCGATGCTATGCCAGTCCGAAGCCAGGAGCCTCTTCCGGGTCTCCCACGTGGGTACAGGGCCCCAAAGCTTTGGTCTGTCCTCGACTGCCTTCCCGGGCCACAGGAGCTGGATGGGAAGCGGGGCCACCGGGATTAGAACCGGCGCCCATATGGGATCCCGGGCATGCAAGGTGAGGACCTTAACCACTGCGCCATCATGTTGGGCCCCCTAGCTTTCATGTGGGCTGGCGTGTGGTGGTCAGCGATGCTCTGTGCTAACAAGCCCAGCTCAGAACTCCCATGTGGGTTTGTGCATCAGTTAGACCCATAAAGTTCTTCTGATTTTGCTCCTCCAAACCACCAGGTCTCAGCCCTCTTGTTTACTAGCAAGTACAGTGGCCTTGTCTTGGGAGTACTTCTGGAGTCATTCCCCACTCACATGTAGGTGGTCCTCTCCAGGGATGTCCCTCAGCAGGCATGAACTCACAAGTCATTGCTCACCCTCCCTGCAAATCCACAACCCTGGCCTGAGGGTTTTACCCAGTGCCGTTGGCACCTGGGCTGCCAGAACAGCTGCTAGACCCAGATGGAGGAAGGTATCTCCTCCCCGTACCCTCCATGGCGGCCTGGGGCCTCCCTGGTTGGTTGGTTTTCTTTTTCCTTCCTTCCTTTCCTTCCTTCTTTTCCTTCCTTCCTTTCCTTCCTTCTTTTCCTTCCTTCCTTCCTTCCTTCCTTCCTTCCTTCCTTCCTTCTTTCCTTCCCTCCTTCCTTCTTCTTTCTCTCTCTCCCTTCTTTCTTCTTTCTCTCTCTCCTTTCCTCCCTCCCTCTCTTTTTTTTCCCTTTCTCTCTTTCAAGATTTATTTATTTGTACTGGAAAGGCAGATTTACAGAGAGGAGAAACAGGGAGGAAGATCTTCCATTTGCTGGTTCACTCCCCAAGTGGCTGTAATAACCAGATCTGAGCCAATCCAAAACCAGGAGCCAGGACTGCTTCTGGGTCTCTCACGTGGTACAACGTCCCGCTTTGGGCCATCCTATCTTGCTTTCCCAGGCCACAAGCAGGGAGTTGGATGAGAAGTGAAGTACCCGGGACACGAACTGGTACCTATATAAGATCTTGGCATAGGCAAGGTGAGGATTTAGTACTAAGGCATCACACTGGGCCCACTAGTTGGTTTTCAAATTGACTGAAATTACATTTGATAAAAAATGCAGGCCCATGGTCATGTAAGGTGTGGGTGGAAGAACTGCACTGCATGAGTGAAGCTGGTTGTGCAGCAGAGCTGTGTTTATTGTCACCTCACGGAGTGCAAGGTGTATAGAGGGCCTGGGTCTGGGGACTGGGCTGTGGGGGCTGGGCCTGGGTCTGCAGTGGCAGTGCCAGCGGTGGGGGAGGGTTGGGCAGATTCCAGATGGGGTTCTTTAGTGGCGGTAACACAGTCCTCCATCACAGGGTGGGGCTGATGGGCAGGGTGGCCTGCAGCCCTGTCGTCCCTCTTCTGGCTCGGCCCCTCCCTAGATTTCCAGGGCTGCTCACAGGACAGACAGCTAAAGCACAAGCCACCACCTGCCGCCAGGAGCCAGGAAGACTTCCTCTGGGTCTCCCATGCAAGTGCAGGATCCCACGGTTTTGGGCCGTTCTTCACAGCTTTCTCAGGCCACAAGCAGGAAACTGGATGGGAAGTGGAGCAGCCAGGACACGAACAGGCAGCTGGGATGTTGGTTCTTGCAAGTAGAGGATTAACTAACTGAGTCACCACCTTGCCGCCCTCAGTCACTGCTTCTTGACGCACCCATTGGAGGCAGAGACAAGGAAGGAGCTCAGAGGGAGGTGGAAGGAGAAAGAGACCTGTGAGTGGACAAGTGGTCCTGTGTGGGTTCTCTGGCTGGGGGCAGGGAACTGTGTCCAGAGGAACAGGTGTGCGGAGGGGCTGGCACCCAAACTGACCATGGCTCAGGTGTGTCCCTGCTTCTGTGGGCCTGAGGACCCCATTACATACTAGAGGAAATAGCATTTGTTGCTGCCCTGCCCACCCCCTCGGGGGCTGGGAGGGTCCAGTACAGGTGTGATGGAGTGCCTATTTCCGGCTTACTGACCACCCTGACAGCTGGGTGCCCTGAGTTGAGGGGATTCACAGTGGGTGCTGGGAGCCCCTTAAGATGTCTGCTGAGACTCCGCCTGGGCCAGGAGTAGGATTCCAGGATGTGCGTGGGCTTCTGTCCACATCCACCCAGTGCTGCTAACGCCCTGTAGCCCCAGCATGTCCCCAGGTTTCCTCATCCCTCCTTGGGAGGAAGAGCCAAGGCCCCGAAGTGCCACATCCACAGAAGACCCAGCCCTTGCCTTCCCACAGCTCTGGAACCTCACCCCTGACCTTGCTGGAGGTGCTTCTTGTCGGCCAGCATCCCCTGGGATCAGGAGCTGGCATCAGAGCTCCACCACGGGCCATCAGTGGGACATGTGATGGAGCTGAGCAATGGAGTCAACGAGAAGAGACTGATCATTGCTCTGAGAAATAATCATGCCCATGAGAACTGACTACAAGGAGCCCAAGGCGCAGGCTTGGGGGTGCGGAAGCTGGGCCAGGCCACACCCAATCCTCCCTTGCCTTCCAGAGGTGTCCCCCCACCCCAAGGTGCTTTGGGTGCCTGAGGCCACCTGGAGATCAGGGCTGCGCTCCAAGGAGCGGCTGTGTACTTCCTCTTGCAGGTGAGAGCTTGGCCGGCTTGACTGTTAGCCTGGGGCTGCCCTCCAGCAAGCAGTGGGCACCTCTGCCTCCAGCATCTCCCCACCACTCCCTCTGCTTTCTAGCTGTGTGATCTCAGGCAGGCACTGTGACCTCTCTGTGTCTGTGTCAGGGAAGGGGTGACACAGTCCTCGGTTTGGGAACTATAGCATTTGTTTAGTATTTGCCGAGCGCCTCTCGTGGGCCAGGACCTGGGTCTAAATAGACATAGAAAGAGCGCAATGAAGGCAAACAGCGTAACGCCCCACTCTCCTGACCCGTCATTCTGTGCTGGTGGGCAGGAGGGGAGGACACTGCACCCAACAGACCCGTCTCGTGGCACCTGTATCCCGGGGAGGGTCAATTGGGAGACCTGATCTCTGGGGTGGCAGCCAGGACTGTGGTACAGTGCATTAAGCTGCCACTTGCAAGGCCAGCAACCCATATTGGAGCTCCAGTTGGAGTCCTGGCTGTTCCGTTTGCAGTCCAATTTACTGCTAATATCCCCTGGGAGACAACAGATGAG